AGGACTAAACCAGGACTACATCAGGAATTAAACCAGGACTAAACCCGGACTACATCAGGACTAAACCAGGACTAAACCAGGACTACATCAGGAATTAAACCAGGACTAAACCAGGACTACATCAGGAATTAAACCAGGACTAAACCCGGACTACATCAGGACTACACCAGGACTACATCAGGACTAAACCAGGACTACACCAGGACTAAACCAGGACTACATCAGGAATTAAACCAGGACTAAACCCGGACTACATCAGGACTACACCAGGACTACATCAGGACTAAACCAGGACTACACCAGGACTAAACCAGGACTAAACCAGGACTAAACCAGGACTACATCAGGACTAAACCAGGACTACACCAGGACTAAACCAGGACTAAACCAGGACTACATCAGGACTACATCAGGACTACACCAGGACTAAACCAGGACTACATCAGGAATTAAACCAGGACTACACCAGGACTACATCAGGACTAAACCAGGACTACATCAGGAATTAAACCAGGACTAAACCCGGACTACATCAGGACTAAACCAGGACTAAACCAGGACTACACCAGGACTAAACCAGGACTAAACCAGGACTACATCAGGACTACACCAGGACTACACCAGGACTAAACCAGATCTAATCTTGGATTTAAGAGTGAGAGAGAACCCCGAGTCCATGGAGCAGGGTGTCTGCAAAGTGCGACTGGATGACGGCTGCTTTTACCTCCGTGGGGCGTGGAGCTTTGCACCGGTCCTTTTGCCTGCAGTCACCCGACGGTCCACACAGGTGCACCTCCGAGCCCGTCCCAACAATGAATCCTGGTCCAGTTCTGGTTTAGTCCTGGTTTAGTCCTCCTGGTTCAATCCTGGAATCAGTCCTGGGTTAGTCCTGGGTTAGTCCTGGGTTTGTCCTGGGTTTGTCCTGGGTTTAGTCCTGGTTTGTCCTGGGTTGTCCTGGTTTGTCCTGGGTTAGTCCTGGGTTGTCCTGGGTTAGTCCTGGGTTAGTCCTGGTTTGTCCTGGTTTGTCCTGGGTTTGTCCTGGGTTGTCCTGGGTTTTGTCCTGGGTTAGTCCTGGGTTTGTCCTGGGTTTGTCCTGGGTTAGTCCTGGGTTAGTCCTGGGTTTGTCCTGAGTTTTGTCCTGGGTTTGTCCTGGGTTAGTCCTGGGTTGTCCTGGGTTGTCCTGGGTTAGTCCTGGTTTGTCCTGGGTTAGTCCTGGGTTAGTCCTGGGTTTGTCCTGGTTTGTCCTGGGTTAGTCCTGGGTTTGTCCTGGGTTAGTCCTGGTTTGTCCTGGTTGTCCTGGTTAGTCCTGGTTAGTCCTGGGTTGTCCTGGGTTAGTCCTGGGTTTGTCCTGGGTTTGTCCTGGGTTAGTCCTGGGTTTGTCCTGGGTTAGTCCTGGGTTAGTCCTGGGTTTGTCCTGAGTTTGTCCTGGGTTTGTCCTGGGTTAGTCCTGGGTTTGTCCTGGGTTTGTCCTGGGTTAGTCCTGGGTTTGTCCTGGGTTTGTCCTGGGTTAGTCCTGGGTTTGTCCTGGGTTAGTCCTGGGTTAGTCCTGGGTTGTCCTGAGTTTGTCCTGAGTTTGTCCTGGGTTAGTCCTGGGTTGTCCTGGGTTTGTCCTGGGTTAGTCCTGGGTTTGTCCTGGTTAGTCCTGGGTTGTCCTGAGTTAGTCCTGGGTTAGTCCTGGGTTAGTCCTGGGTTTGTCCTGAGTTTGTCCTGGTTTGTCCTGGGTTAGTCCTGGGTTTGTCCTGGGTTTGTCCTGGGTTAGTCCTGGGTTTGTCCTGAGTTAGTCCTGGGTTAGTCCTGGGTTAGTCCTGGGTTTGTCCTGAGTTTGTCCTGAGTTTGTCCTGGGTTTGTCCTGGGTTAGTCCTGGGTTAGTCCTGGGTTTGTCCTGGGTTTGTCCTGGGTTGGTCCTGGGTTAGTCCTGGGTTTGTCCTGAGTTTGTCCTGAGTTAGTCCTGAGTTAGTCCTGGGTGAGTCCTGGGTGAGTCCTGGGTTTGTCCTGGGTTAGTCCTGGGTTAGTCCTGGGTGAGTCCTGGGTTAGTCCTGGGTTAGTCCTGGTTCTGTCTGTGGCGTGTTTCTTCTGCTGTGCCTGTGTAGTGACGACAGTCCAGTCGCGTCTGTGAATTTGTGTTTGTAATGAAGAAATCGTAAACGTTTCTTTTCATTTCATGATTGTAATTCTTGAAGTCGTAAGTTTTCAGTTCGTATTCTGATGGACGCTTCAGTTAGAAAGTTTTTAATTTGTGAGATGATTTATCACGGGCACGGACGGGAAACAGGTGGAATGTTAACGGGTCCTGGCGGATGTGGATTTAACTTTGATATAATCACGGGTTAAAGGGCGGGTGTGGTGCTGTACCTGCGCAGGTGCGGGCAGGTGTGGGTTTCCGAAAATGGACCTGTGCAGGACTCTGATCCGCAGTATGACATTAAACCTACTATGCAGGCGTTCAGTTGCATTTGTCTATATCTGCAAAAAATGTCTTTAATGAATGAAATGAAACACTAATCCAAATGTGTTGTGAGGAGGTAACATATTATAACCAGACCAAAATCCAATCCAAAATATGGAACCTTTAGCTTTACAACTTTACAAGAGATGAGTAGTAAAGTCACCTAATTCTTTTGCTCTATTTCCTGAGTTTGTACCTTTTACCTCTGTGTCTGTCGCTCCATCTGCCCCTGACTCTGTTTTATTGGCTGTTGCCGTGGTGATGTTTTGTGATTATATAATGACAGAGCAGCTCAAAGTCACACTGACACCACACACACGAGGAGCGCACAGGATTAAGAATACGAGTATCCGAGGATCCAAAGGCAGGTCAAGCCTCCCTGAAGTTGCGGAGAAGCAAATTGGGTCCAAAATTGTGCAAATGATCCGGTAGTCCAGGGGTGGGCAATTATTTTTTCCATGGGGCCACGTGAGAAAAAGAAAATGTTGTGCAGGGCCAGGCCATCATGCCTAACTCAATTCTGCATAATAGTCATTTTATTTCTTGTAAATATCATTGTTTTGATGAGCTGATAAGGCTGGTAAGAGTTTATGTTATGATTTAGCAATGAAAAAGTGAGGTTGCCTTATAAAAATGTACTGTATTTTTTGGACTATAAGTCGCACTTTTTTCATGGTTTGGGTGTTTCCTGCAACTTATACTCCGGTGTGACTTAAATATTGAAATTTTCACACTGACAGCTGTGCGAGGCTCTAGTCTTGTGTGTCAGTATCTGCTCTTCCTATTACTCCGGTATCACTGTCACGTCACCCTTAACTGTGCATGTCTCCTGCAGAAAGAGCCATCGTTCTGCTGCAAGTAGTGAAATATTCAGCCAAAAACGGTAATCGAGCAGCAGAAAGAAAGTTTGGAGTGAGTGAGAAACTTGTGAGGGACTGGCAGAAAGTGGGGATGAAGAACACATCTTCACAGGAACCGGGAGGGTGCAACATGCAACTTTCCTGGAAGTCACTGGATGAATCGACAAAGCCTGGACTTGAGTGACAACCACAGCCATCCTGTTGGGATTCAGAAAGGCCGGAATAATTGTAACTGGAACTGATGCTGAGTCTGACGACAGCTACACAGAAGAAGAAGCAGCGCTCCGTTTACATCATGGATCTATGGTTTATTTCTGGAGGTTGTGGAGTTGCTCAGAAGTGACACCGAGGATGAAGAATTTAATGGTTTTAGTGAAGATTTGGACTGAGATGGAGAGTTTGGTAAACTTGTTCTGTTCTGTTGTTTATGTTATAGTTTATCTGAAGAACTGTTCATATGTGACATTAACAGTCTGTTGTTTGTTGTTCTATTGTAATTACTATAACTTGCCTTTCAAAATTAAATGTCGGTTCCTGGGCTCTGATTTTATAAAATAAATTTCTCTCAAAAAGTGCAACTTATTGTTTGGTGTGACTTATATATGTCTTTTCTTCTTCATTGAGCATTTTTTGGCTGGTGCGACTTATACTCCAGAGCGACTTATAGTCTGAAAAATACAGTAATAAAAAAACACCTCTAAAATAAAAGCAATGCCGCTTTAGTCCATGCATGAGGTAAAATTATAATACATTTTTATTTTGTAATTCCAAATGAGCTTAAACTGGCCTGTCAGAGTCCAAACCAAATACCAAAACCAAAATTTGTGGTCCGGGAACTGTGCAATGTCCAGGTCTGGTCTAGAATGTTCCACAGTATGGAAAGAATTTCCATGGGGACTTGCAAAACAAATTACATATTCGATTTGTGGAGAGGCGAATTAATGTTTTTTTAAGACATTTTTGAGCAATAATACCACCTGTAGATTAATAAATGCAAGACAGATTAGTTTTAATGTCGTACTGTGTTAAACCAAAGCATTAACATTTCCATGGAAACAGATTGCAGAAAAGTTACACTCTGCACTTTTAAGTAATTTTTAAAACAAGGTCTGAAACGGACAGTGTTGGGAGTAACGTGTTATAAAAGTAATGAGGTACTATAATGTATTGCTTTTTACTGTAATGTTTGTCATTACAGCAAAAAATTTACTTGGAACAAATGTCAGAAATGCGCGTTACAATATTTTTTTTAACCTGGATTGAAGTGGTGCGTTTTTCTTCATACAATTTCACAAAAATCACAGCGATATCAGGAGCGGTGAAACGCCGGAGACGCGCCCGTGTAGACCGTCGGGTGACCGTGAGTGAAAGGACCGGCACAGAACTCCGCGCTCGCAGACACCCTGCTGCACAGACTCAGGGTACTCTCAGGGGCGGTCCTAGATTCCAAGTTATAGTCCAAGATTAGTCCTGGTTTGGTCCTGATTTCGACTTGGTTTAGTCCTTGTTCAGTTCTGATTTAGACCTGGTTCAGTTCTCGGTTCAGTCCTGGTTTAGACCTGGTTTAGTCCTGATTTAGACATGGTTTAGTCCTGGTTCAGTTCTGGTTTAGTCCTGGTTCAGTCCATATACGGCGCAAAAGTTCAGCATCTTCACAGTTATTTCAGTGAGAGTAACTTAAAGTGCTGCAATAGTCGTGTAACGTTTTACATTTTAAATACAGTAATATTGTAATGTAACAAATTACTTTGAAATGGCAGTAACAAGTCATAAATAACACATTACAGTTTTAAAGTAACTTGCCCAACAGTGGAAATGGATCTTAAATAAACCATCACTAACAGTTTCTCCCGTGGGTTTTGTAAATATTACATTTACTACAAACAGGTGTATCCAATAAAGCGGCCACTATTAGATTTCTTGGTGATGCGTTCAGGAGCTGCTGAGTGCTGTGGGATTATGGATCACTGGGCCTGTAAATCCGCAGTGTGTTTGCAGTAAATAGTTTTGGAATAGAAGGTCGATATGAGTGGGATTTCAAGGTGATTTTTGTGCAGTTAAAAAGGGAAATGCATAAACAAAATGATGTAAAATGTTAAATGTTCTATATTACACTATTTTCTAACTGATGTTATAATGTTGTTTTCTCTTCACAAACAGACCTGGAGTTGTGTTTTGTTTTGTTCACTCATGTTTAACACATAAATCCTGCTTATTTAGACTTCACTCCCTACTTCAAACAGAAAACAGTCTCTTCCACTTTGTGATGTCATGTGGTAATACAGGAAGTGCTCCACTGTGTTTTTTAAACTCCACACTAGGGCTGGGTATCATTAAGAAGTTGCCGATACGATACATACCTCGATACATAGGCCACGATACGATACATATCCTGATACAGTGATTCGATTCAATACGATATATTTCAAATCGATTCGATATGGTTCAATTAAAAATAAAGGCTAAATCATGGCAGTGATATAGAGCCCTGGACCCGAGGCAAAACAGTGCGACTCGGGACACATTTGGAAAACTCATTGCGGGCGCGGGATGGGATCATAAACTGCAGTCCCGCAAACTAACGCATACGTCGCGCAGACTGCCCCCCCTCGCATACGTCTTGCGGGTTGTGTCACTAAACCAGAACTAAACCAGGTCTAAAACAGGACTAAAAGCAGGACTAAAACGGGACTAAAACAGGATTTAGCCAGGACTTAACCATGCCGCCCGACCGCCCACCGCGTCTCCTCCCATATGCAGACTGAAAATTCTGTCCCACGCAGACCTTTACTGTGATACTAAAAGTCTTTATTAAACCACTTCTTTTGCAAAGTTCATATGAAACACAAACATTTTAATCATCAAAACTGTGAAAATGTCAAATGTGTCGCATAAACAAGTTTCCTTCCTCTGAACAAGCAACAAAACTGTAGCACTGTAACAAAAGAATTTAGTTCTTTTGGTCGATATCTTGATACAGCAGCCCACAATATCGATATTGTATCATCACATTAAACGATACGATACATATCAATATTTTAATATTTTTGCACACCCCTGCTCCACGCACCTTCACTAGAATCATTTGGAGTAGTTCAGCTCTGGAATTTCCAATCTCTACTGAACTAAATGTAAAAGGAGCTGTTAACTTGAAAACTACCACTACATGACATCACAAGGTGCAACAGAGCATTTTGAGCTTCGGAGAAGTAGACAGACGAATAATAAAGGATTACTCAGACATGTGAATGGCATGATTTTGAGGAGGTAACAACATTATAACATGACTAAAAGCTCACAAGAGTCAATTTTGCGTAATATAGGCATTTTAAATATGTTGTTTTATATTGCATTATATTGTGAGCTTCTGTGTTCAAACAATTTCCTTTGTGGATCAATAATAAAGTTTGTCATAAGTCTAAGTCTTGTTGAATTTGGTCAAAAATACCGTCGTCAAAATTTCGTTTCTGAACTTGGCGCCGTCTGCTAATAGCTTGTGAGACTTTGTGGTGTATGTGGTTGCCATGGCCACAGCCTCTCAGCTCGGTGTCACTGTATCGTGTGTGTGTGTGTGTGTGTGTGTGTACGTGTTGAATCGCCATAAATACGCTGGGTTCACATGACATCACAACATTCTGAGACGCTGAGGTGGAGGTATAGAGTTTGCCATTTAAAGGAGACATATGACACGAGAATCTGCTTAAAGAGGCACTGTGCAACTTTTCTGGTTGAGGTTACACTGCTGCATGTTAAGGGTGTAAGAAAAAAATCATTGCCATTTTGTCTCTAGAACAGGGGGCAGTTATTTTTTCCATGGGGCCACGTGAGAAACAGAAAATATTGTGGAGGGCCGGGCCAAAATATTTAATTCAATTCTGCTTAATATAAATTGTCTTTCTATATAAAAAGCAGTAAATATCATTGTTTTAACGAGCTGGTCAGACTGGTAAAAGTTTGTTACGACAAAGCAATGAAAAAGTGAGGTTGCCTTCCAAAAAATGTCATAAAAAACACCTCTAAAATAAAATCAATGCAGCTTTAGTCCATGCATGAGATAAAATGATAAAATATGCTTATTTTGTAATTCCAAATGAGCTTAAACTGGCCTGTCAGAGTCCAAACCAAATACCAAAATCCAAAATATGTGTCCTGCCTCCCTCTTTTTTTTTTTTTTTTTTTTTTTTGGAGTTTGTGTGTGGTGGGGGGGGGGGAACAAAACAGAACATGTATATTATGATGTATATGGACAAAAAAATCACTGAATAAATTACAAATTATAAAAAAAATAAATAAAAAAAAAAAAAAACTGGGCAAAACCTCTAAAAATATGCTGAATATTAGGGATGCCTTCACCTGATACTGGTATCTGATATCATCGCCGCTAATAAAGAATTTGCTTGATCGGATATCGGTTCAGTCGATATCCTAGTTCAACATGTAAACTAATGTAATAAGACTATTTACTGGTCATACTCGGCCTAGAAAGTCTCATAATATTTTAATTTTTATTTGTTCAAAGCTGTCCTGTAGTTACTTGTGGGATAAATAACAGCTACATAACACATTTGGATCAGGTATGTCTTTTTTTTATTTTTGTATAAATAAAATAAATGCTGTTTTCAGTCTTTACACTGGAAAAAAAAAAAAAAATATGTGTCCTGGAATTGTACAATGGCCAGGTCTGGTCTGGAATGTTCCACAGTATAACCATAAAAAAAGAATCTCCATGGAGATTACAGGTTAGATTTGTGGAGAGGCGACCCCACTCACAGTGAGAATTAATGTTTTTTAAGATATTTTTGAGCAATAAAACACCTGTAGTTGAATAAATGCCAGACAGATTCGTTTAAGGTCATATTGTGTAAGAAAAAATTGATTCAGTGATATATCGTGATACTTCATTGCACAATTCTCACATCGATTCAAAATGCATCCGAATCGATTTTATATAATAATCATATTTTTCACAAACATTCATTATTTACATTCGATGTTTTGATTATTTGATCATTTTTATAAATCATATTTCATACAAGTTTGTTCTTGTGAAGTTGCAGTTGACTGTATTAATAGAAGTTATCATTGACTTGATTGACTAGTCAGTATGACATTCAACTTTTTTATTTTTACTTGTACTTATACATTTATATAATTATGCTTTTTTTTTTTTTTTTACTCCAGTTTTTTGTTATTTTTCTGACTTATTTTAAATTTTTTATTATTATTTATGTTTTTATTTTTTGTTTTTATAATATATTTGTGATGTGCAAGCTTCTGTGTAATATAAAAAAAAAAAAAAAAAAAAATAATAATAATAATAATAATAATAATTTCCTTTGTGGATCAATAAAGTTTGTCTAAATCTAAGAAAAAAAAAAAAGAAAAAATCAGGTAGAAGCTCTTTAAAGGTACATTGCGTAAAATTGTATAGTGGATGGTCTGCCACCTGCTTGTCTCCATGGAAATGTGATTGATTTGTCTAGAATGTTCCACAGTATAGATTAAACCTGTCTATCAGGAGGAAGACCAGCAGGTTACAGCACTACGCTACATTACGGGTCAGATCTGTGGAGAGGCGTCCCGATTCACAGAAGGAATTATTGTATTTTTGAGCAATAAAAACACCTGTAATGAATAAATGCTAAATGTTTATGTTTAATGTGACACTATGGAACATTCCAGGCAAAGCAATAACATCTCCGCAGCGATAAGTAAGTAGAAAAAGTTGCACAGTGCACCTTTAAAGGCTTTTTAAGTACTCAAACCGCGTTCTTATTTCACATTAGCCTCACGCCTGTTGAGAAATACCATTAACTGTGGGTGATGAGCCCAGATAAGCGCCGAGCTCGACCCAATAACGTTTATCTGACTCTGTATCGATGGGATCTCCGTGAACGCCCTCATTTTCACCGAGGTCGTAACAAAACTCAATAGGAGAGATCTTCAGAGGGTTCGGGTTTGGTGCAGTGTTTCTGAAGGACTGGCCTGTCTTCATTTGGCTGGAGCCGGTGAGCAGGAGCAGCTGTTACAGAGCAGAGCCAGGAGGCAGTTGTAAACATGCATTTGTCTTGTAGTCACGCTGAGTTTTACACAAATCATTTTCAGTTTTTTAGCGTTTGAACTAGCAGAGACTTGGTTTGAGCTATGTTTAAATTGAAATTTTGTATTAAAGGGTCTAATGAAGTAGGATGGACATGATTAGTCGACTAACTGATAACTGATCATTAAGAATTTCGTCGATCACGTTCATTTTTAATCCACAAATTGCTGTAAATAGGTTGCTGTGCGTAGCTTAGTGTGAGGACACGAGGCTTGGTCTGGAGTTGTGACGTCATAGTCCCACGTTTGGGCTCTGGTACCTCCTTGGAGATCACTTTATCCTTCAGTGAGTGCATTTACACATCACATCAGTGTCCTGGGTATGATTGGGGTTTTTGAGTATCTTGGTTTTGTCATGGTGCATGTAAACTAGGGATGGGCATGGTTAGTCGATTAATCGATAATTGATCTTTAAGAATTTCATCCATTACGTTAAGTTTAATCGACAAACCGAATGTAGGTTGCTGTGTGTAGCGTGACAAAAACAGGGGTCTGTACATGTGTCTCTCTGCACTCAGAAGGAGCGAGACACAAACAGTCGGTCAGTCTGTAACGTACCGAAGCACAAATGTGTATTTAACGATGATTTGTACAAGAAACTCCA